TTAAGCAGAAAGCAGTAAAAATGAAATTTGCACATGATAATTAATTAATTATTGTCTGGCATTGTGTGTAGAATAGCCAGGAGATCCAAAGATTGTCTGGCAGTGGCAGTGGCAGCTGCAAGCTCTGGCTCTTAGCATTAAGCTAGTGGTAAGCTAAACTTATTTTTAAGGGCTGAGAGAACTCTGAGAGAACTGTGACTGGCCCAAGGTCACCCAACTGGCTTCATGTGGAGTAGTGGGGAATTGAACCCGGTTCTCCAGATTAGATTTGCCACTCTTAACCACTACACCAAAGTTGCTCTGTTGTACATGTGACCATTCAAAATTGGTAAACTTGAGTGCAACAAATCTTGCTTATACAACCACTACTTCTAAATACCAAACAAACTGTGATATTGTTACAGGTACAGCTCAGTTATTTGTGATGTTTCAAACAGGCCAGCATTTCAGTCCACTAGGTAGCACCAGCCCAAGCAACATTAGTCACACGCAAATGCAGTAGCCACTGGTGAGATTGCATCATGAAATGCTACTTGCATGAAGCATTGCAGGTCAGGTAAAGGTGTGTGTGATCTTGTTTTTGTACTGTTCATTCTGTTCCATGCTAAATATATGGCAAAGACAAGGGACAGGATGTCTCCTATACCCTGATTGCTGGAAGTTTTATTCAGCAATTTAGTTATTCAGCTATTTATTTATTTATTATTTCTATTTATATCCCGCCTTGCTGGACACGCTGGCTCAAATTTCAGCAATTTATCTGAAATATGTATATGCCAGCCTTTCTCCTGTGCAACTCAGGACTCAAAGCAGGCGATTGGAGACTACTGAGGATTTATGAGTTACTAGTCTAGTAGTCCCCAATGTGGCGCCTGTGGCGCCATGGAGCCCCCCAACACCTTTTCTGGTGCCCACTAATTGTTTTTGCAAAGTGACTGGGAGGCCAGATGGGGCTTCTTCTAGCAGGGCATCTGATTGACCACCGGATATCTGACTGGCTATGCAGATTAAAATAACACTTCGGCAGCAGCTACACCCACAGTATTGTTTTATTCTCTCACTCCTCTTTCTAATTGTATTTTTTTAAATTACCCCTCTTCTCCTTTGCACTTGGGATTCTGTGTGTGTGTGTGTGTGTGCACGCGCATGGCTCTGCCTCCTTAAGCAGCCATTTTCTGGTTGCGCTCACCAGCCTGCGTAGAAATTCAAAGGTGCCCACAGGCTCAAAAGGCTGGGGACCTCATGCACTAGCCTTATATGTTCAAGCATGACCTAGAAAAGCTTTTGCACTTAAAAAAAAGCACTTACCTAGAACAAAAGCAGTAGAATAAGACTACTCTCCCCCCCCCCTTCCAAGGTTCATTTGATCAGGCAAGGCCAGAACTTTTATTTTTCCAGTCAAGTCGCAGCCACCTTAAGGATATCCCGTAGGGTTTTGAAGGCAAGAAACGTTCAGGGGTGGTTTGCCATTGCCTTGCCTCTGTGTAGCAGCACTAACCAGGTCCAACCTTGCTTAGCTTCCAAGATCTGAGGAAACCAATATAGCCTGGGCTATCCAGGTCAGGCAAAGAACATTTTTAGTAACAAGCTATTCTAGATCAAGTTTAAATGATTTTCCATGAGAAATACTAGCAGATGAGGGCTAGTAAGCATTCGCTACTGGATTTCTCTAAATAAAGACAATTTGTATCAACACTTTTGTGCCCAGATGCTGCTTTCGATATTACTAGCAAGGAAGCTGTGACTCACATGACTACTTTTCATTCTGATATAGTGCTGCAAATCTGCACAACAATTATACACCTCACGTATACCCTACAGAGGACTACTCCAGGTAGATCTTCAACAAATATATTAAAAAATGTCTACTTTCTCTTTTCTATCCTTTGGGACTAACATGGCAACCCCTGCAACACTGACTGATTAATCAAAGCTAACTAGACTAACACTAAGGCGTCTTCGGAGCCAGGAAGGAAATTCATGCCCACGTGCCAAAATAGAGGTTGAGTCCGGTGTTCTACCTGCGGGAGTGATGTGTGAAGAGAACTTTTGAATGTGAAAGAGTGGAAACAGAATTCAGAGCATATTAGAGAAGGAAAACCTAACAGAACATTTCTGATTGGCATAAGTAGCTCTCACGATATTGAGGCACTAGGGTGATGCATGCTTCCCATCTTCTCAACATGTACGTTTGCAAATCATTTGCCCCAAAGGCACAGTTGTCTTCAGGAGTCTCTGGGGGGGGGGAGATGTCTACATGGTAGATTCCAGAATGTCTTGATGCTCAGAGAAGTATGGAGGGCAAAAACTTAGCCTTACTACTTGAGAGCACGTTAAACTTTACTAGTTCATCATGTAACCTTTCCTGAAAAACCAACCTCCGGAGACAACAGATTTTTGCTGATTGCCTTTTACAGTGGTGGCTCCAAGCCAGTGTACGAACTGTGGAGCTTGAAGTGGTGCTAAAAGCATTGGGAAAACCTTAACCTCCCACCCAAAAGACCCCCTTCCAAACAAACCAACAAAAAATGCTAAAGACCTGTGCAACACACTCTTCTTTCCCTTCAACTTTGTTTATTGATGTACTGAACATGAAAAAGTACAAAGGATCCAAACACAAAAGAAAACATGTACAGCCTCTTTTTTTAAATACTCAACAGAATATATTTTTTCTACTCCAACAGATGTGAATTAAGTCATACTGTACAACTTCAAATAAATACCAGCCTTACATTTTATTAAGTGCTCTGATAAACAGTGCAAAGTGAAGCCCGATACACATGCCTTCTCATCAATGCCCCCCATGTTTTGTTTTGTTGCTACAGTAATACATAGTAGCAAAGAATGTAGGTTCTGTTCTCCCCCACCCCCCACAATGGAACTCTTTGTTTTCTGAAAAATTGTTTAAATGCACAATAGTTTTTCAATGCGCCTAGAACAAGCACGTGTCAGGAAGCCAATTGATTTTTTAAGTAGCATTGAGTGGGTCCAGCATGAAACGTCGCTTGTCACTTTAGCACACTTTATTCTCCCACAGTATATGTACTGTACTATACTGAAATTTTATAACTACAATTTTTAAAAAATAAGAATCAAAAAAAGCAACTGCAAAGATCATGTACAAGTATGTTAATGCATAGCACATTGCTTGTTCTAAGGGGAAGCGTATGAGCATCTCAGTTTATACAAAAAGCAGGACGTAACTATATAGTTGTATCAGTGCATCCTGGGGAAGGCACAGCAGCCTTCAGCTTTTTAAAAATTTATTATAAGCTAGATGCTAATCAGAAAATATCTACTTTTTTGACCTTAAATTTCTTCCATACATGGTAAAGACTTTTATTTATTATTTCCCCAAATAAGTGATTTAAGCATCATACAAAGTTAAATTTCAATAGCATACAGGTATTTATGATTCTGGTATGAAAAATGTAAGGAATTTGTTCAAAACCTATGGTTATACTCATTTTTTTACCACAAACATATTTATAAACAAAAATGTAGCATCACCATAAACAGCTGAAGCTAGACTATCTACAGACAAAATTTGCAACGTATCTGATACACTGTAAATTTAAGTCCCCAGGACAACAAAAATGAATAAGCAGACCTCAAGTAACAATGTTAATGCCATTTACAAAGAAAATAAAAATACAAAAACATTCAAAATCTGAACATCACTTGGCATGTTAAATAAAGGAAACAAAAAACCAGAAGAAAACCCAAAATAGTAGCTGAAAAGAGGTTCATAAACGCAAGATCTTATTTACATTACACAAAGCTCAGGTGTTAGCCTTGAACGTAACTTTCAAAATACCTTCAAATATATCCAACGCAAGACTGCTTCTTCCTGGTCTGCCATTAAGCAAACCATGTGCAAACGTCTTTTTTTTTCTTTAAGACAAAACAATTCTTCAAACAATACTGCAAGTACATCACTAAACACCATGAGCTCTATCTGAAGGGAATTCTATAGGAAGAACAGATTTTTTCCCCCATCTCAGTTAATTTAAATTTCTTGCCTGCTCTTATATACTTTTAAATGTTTTTTCTTTTGTTTCAAAATCACAAGTTAACGTGAGCCGCTCATCACATAGTAACCAGGATGTTCAGAGACTGCACCAACGATTACACAAAAGCAAAACCAGCAGTGCTTTCCCAGTGATTCCACTTCTTGAATAACAAAGATCTCTAAAGAATTTCTACATCATAAATCTCTCTAAAGTTTTTTCCCCCAACCACTGCAAATTTCCTGGTAAGTTTTAAAAGCTCACTAGGTGTCATATGAAGAGATTTCTCAAAGTATTCAAGTCAAAATATTTGTTCCAGGACCTGTAAAAAGTTTCTCCAAATTTTCTCTTTTTTATAAAAATAGATGCTTTGTTTTTTTTAAACCCACATCAAAGAGGCTCTTATCTCTTTGGCAAGGTACTGCTTTACGAAAAGTTCTCCAGTAATCTTACAATAAGCTTTTATAATGCACCACCCCCCTTCCCCAAACCCAAATCATAACTACAAAATAAATACTTTTAAACTTTATAAATAAAAATGTAAACTTCAAAAAACACTTTTCTTGAACAGACTAAACAGCAAGGCAGTAAAGTGTAAACCAAAAGGAACTCAAGACAACCAACTTAAAGATTATAACACAAAGCCTCAATATCTACTCACAGGTTCAAGGCAGTCGTGTAAAAGAAATTTCTTCCCTTAGCGCAAACATTTTAAAAGGTCCGCCTTCTTCAAAGAAGGCAATAGAATGCATTGTGACAGGTAAAAACCCTGTACCTCTTGTCCATATTCAAACATAAGATATTTAAGAAGTTTTAATTCAAATACTAGCAATAAAAAATCTCACATATTTCTTAGGATGCTAGTCTTTTTTTTTAATCCCCCCTCCCCATCTCAACACTGACTTACAAAGACATTTACTAATGTATAAAGTTTCTTTTTTAACTTGCCTTTGTTGAATAGTTTTCAAATATAAATTGGTCTGAGGGCAACTCATTAGGCTTTGTGCGTTTTGTTTGTTTTAAACGAGACCTGCAAAACTCTGTCTCCAAGGCGGTATCCATTCAGGCTGGCTATTGCCATGGCTGCCTCATCATAGTTTGTCATAGTCACAAATCCAAAACCTTTGCACTTGTTTGTGTTGAAGTCACGGATGACCTTCACGTTGGTCACGGCGCCGAAGGGTCCAAACATTTGCCACAGGATGCTCTCATCCGCATCAGGAGCTAAATTGTATACAAAAATGCACCATCCGGTTCCCGCATGTCCCGGGATATTGATCCCAGCCAAACTGGTCATTCCATCAATGGTCATTGGAGAAAACCTACTAACCAACAGGGGGTGGGAGGGGGACACAAAACAAACACAAAGCTTTTTTTAGTTCCAGGAATGAATTTAAGGATGCAGCCTATTCCCTTGTAATAACATGCTGATTGTTAACCCAAGATCCTTTCTGCACAATTAAATTTTGTGTTGTAAATGACCATAGAGCTCTTTCATGCAGCTTTCCTAATTTTGTTGTGAGTGACTAAATTTTCTCAGCATTGAAAGCACATATAATTTATACCTGGGAAAAACAGCATTTACTCCAGGCACTGCTGCATTTATAGCTACAGTGCAATAGTGGAACAGAGTGATTATAATGTCGGACTAGAAACCCAAGTTTGAATCCCCAGCCAAGAGGTTCACTGGGTGATCTCGGGGCTGTTGTTAGGACCGACTGGGGAGGGGACAATGATCCACCTAAGCTCCCTGGAAGAAGGTCTCGGAAAAAATGCAGAGGACTTCCAATAGGCAGGTTTACGTCAAACAGGACTTTGTGGTCAAGTTACTCTTCCTGTATTAGAAATAGCTGAATATAATCACACCCCACACTGAGACACACACGCCAGAACTACCTGTCCTCAAATGGTGTCACTACTGTCTCTACGTGAGCTACTATTCCAAATGCATCTCCCTGCAGTCTTTTTGGTATGGAGAGTGACAAATTCCAACGAACAGGTTTGCCTCGGTTGGCATATCGCTAGAGCCATTGGTGCAGTCTATGAAATGTGGTTACTTATGGATGAACAGCACATGATCGGTAGCTTCCCTGCCACACACACACCCCCGTACCATGTGTACCTTAAAGTTATATACAGCTCCATTATTTGGAGGCAGTATGCACCTACAAATCCAGACGGATCCATTTGGGGAAGCAGCTGCAGTGACAAATCTTGCCAGTAAAAGCAACTGGCTAAAAGCGTAAGCAGGTCTAATCTTGACTAGGTAGCCTTAAGGAAGTCACTGTTCTCCTAAGCTCTGGGTCTCATTTGCAATATGGAATTCATACTAGCCCTATTCACATGTTACAGAGATTGCATGTACAACCTGCATGTAAGTGCGTACACCTGTTTTGTAAGAAAGAGCCAACACAAGTTCATTTTACATATGAAACTGTAGACCAGTATGTGGATAAATGTGAGATTTAAATCACACGTTCAGCAGTGTGTGTGTTGATGTAAAATGAGAATTACTCAACTGATATATAAAGAAAAATCAAGTGTACATTCTACATGGATTGTGTGTGCATTCACTGTAACTTGTGAACAGGGTTACAGTCTTACATTACAGGACTGTATAGGATTCACACGTGTATGTGAATATTCTATATGAAAGTGTTACCATAATCCTGGCAGGTCCAATCCCGCTCACCATACAGATATAATGTACTACTGGAGCTGAAAGGGGCTTGCTATGTTGTTTCAAACACACTAAAATGCAGCTGAACACGCTACTTCAGTTGTGCAAAAAGGTTCCTCAGTCTTTCAAAATACTTGATTGACACAGAAGGAAAGAGATCATTAATTTTTTAACATAAAAGAGTGGTCAGCAAACAAGTAGAGTTAAAAAATAATGCTAAAAATTGATGACAAGGAAAGGAAGTGGCAAGTGTTCACTAAAATGAAATGGCTTCATTTAATGTCCAAACATGCAAGCAGAATTCAATGGGAAAAAAAATTCTTTAAAAATGCTCCAATAGACTTTCAACTCAAGCACTCAATAGGAAGATTAGGTGTTATGGACCTAACACAAGTCCTCATTACCTCTTTACTCCATAAGCCATGTTGAGCAGATTGTCCAACCTGCAAAACACATTTAGTAAAGAGTTCAGTCTTCAGATTTACCCTCACGTGTCATATTGCTAATACATCTCAAATAAAGTTTGAGTCCAGTGGCACCTTTAAGACCAACAGAGTTTAATTCAAGGTACAAGCAAGGTACAATGCGCACTTCTTCAGATACAATGAAATGGAAATTACCAGTCCATACATATGGGGGTATATACATACAGGCCCACCCTCTACCTATATGTATGGACTGGTAATTTCCATTTCATTGTATCTGAAGAAGTGCGCATTGTACCTTGCTTGTACCTTGAATTAAACTCTGTTGGTCTTAAAGGTGCCACTGGACTCAAACTTTGTTCTGTTGCTTCAGACCAACAGCTACCCACCTGAAGACATCTCAAGTTTCACAAAACAAGTTTACAAGGCTATAGTTGTACAAGCATACATTTACCTGCATTTTCTACCCTTTGCCATGTGGAGCTGGCATGCTTCCACACAGCCAGTCACAATTACCCTTCCACCATTTATGTATAAGAACTCCACCTTAGAAGGACATAACACCAGGCTTTCAAGACAATCAGACATGTTATAAATGATAAAATGCCCAATATTAAAATAATTCAGATAATTAATTTCACACAGGATTCCTTGCTGGTAGGCTAAATTCTTTTGTTAGTGACAAAATGTATTCCCCTTTAAGGAACTGCTTAATAGATGCACTAACCCATTTTTTCTATATAGCCACTCCACAATTATAAATAGATATATTTTCTAAAATTCAGTATGGTGAAACCGATTTGCCAAAATTTCTGTTGATTAGATATTTTCTGGATATCAATTACTTGTTTTGGAACCAGGTCCTCCTGGAGGTTTAAAAAGATTATACTAACGCTTGATTTATTACCAGCAGTATTCAAGAGACTTAACATTTTACCACATAAAGTTAAACCTTTAAAACAGGAATGTCAGTTTGGCAGATTATATTTTAATTTACTCTAAAACACGAACCTATGCAGAGCAAATTATTTTATGCTCATACAGGAATTGGTGAATAGGTTAATGCTGGCTCCTCCTTATCCACCACTAAGATATCAAAGACTTAAATACACTCATGTTTCCTCATCACAGAATAAGGTGTATGCAAATATGCATAAAGAGTGTAAGTAATAGTTCTGTATAAATAGTGTTCAAGGTTAATAAATTCTAACATTATAACAAAATGTGAGGTACTTTTACTTCTCAAAGGGAAATAAAGCTACAGTGCATGGGTGGCCTGCCAAGGAGTGGCTTTTTCTGAGGTTTTCTGTGAATCTCTCTCATATTTATATGGGATTCGAATGTATCACACTTCTGAGTGGCCATGTTAGTGGATGACTTAACCACTTTCAATGGCCAATGAGGTGGGGGGCCCTGACACACAGTGAACTTTCACTGGTTGAAGGGTTTGTCAGGAAAAACAAAATATCAACTTCAGCCTGGTCAGAAAGAGTCTGTCATGGTGTGTGAAAAGAGAAGACTACAATTGCTGGTAGAAGGAACAAAAAGAGCTGAAGGAAGAGAACAACCGAAGAGCTGTCTGATCTGGCAAATGAAGCTGAAAGGAAGATTGTGACTGGAGGAAAAAGAGCCTCCCAGGGTCTAGCTGAAGACAAGGTGGAATCTTCCTTATACTGGCATCTTCAGGGAGCAATCTTGACCAAGAAGAAATCACTACCTTCGTACAGGTGCCAGGGTCCTCAAGGTTGCCTAATTAAGGCGGACACGTCACTTATGATGTGTGGGGGTGGCTATCGAAGGGTTTTTTTAAAAAAAAATTACAGAATTATCCTATCACAACTGTGCAGTACTGTCCAGCAAGCACTTTCCATTTAAATCCTCATGATCCAGGTTTGGGGCATGCCTTTTAGCATTAGGAACATAGGCAAAAGGGGGAAACCCACTCTTGAAAATGACCAGACTCTGTTTCATAAACTTACAAGCAGCTGTGAAGCCCTGTTCATGTTGCCAAGGGGATTACCTGCTCCCAAATGTGTCAGTCTTGCCCGTGGGGGCCTGGATTCCCCCCCTCCCTTTTCTTTATTTTTGCAGAATTCCAGGCGGGGCAGCCAATGCCCACTTTCCCCAGTGAGTCTTTGCTACTCTGCAGCAGCTCCCCAAAGGATTGGGGGAGGAATGGGTGGATAGGAAAATGGAGGAGGGGGATGTAAATGATCACAGGGGAGGTGGGGGGGGAGCCATACGCTCTCTGCCCCCAGCACAAGCAGCCTCGCTTGTTCTCCCTCCATTGGTGGGTCATCGCTGAAAAGTCACTTTGGGGGGCTGCAGGACAAGCCCCACTCTGCAGAGTAGCAAAGAGATAGAAGAATTACTGAATTAATAGGTTGGTTGGTTTGAAAACTTAACAGTGGATTCTACTACAACATTCCTTTAGGCAGCCCACCTCCATTCTCACTTACAGATTTATGTAAAACATGGCAGTCCATTCCTGGAGAAAGCTGTCAGCTTAAGAGTGCTCCGCTGCCTCCCAGCCCATGCCTGGAGAGCCCCACAGCCAGTCCAGGAGGTGATGACCCATCGATGGAGGGAGAACAAGTGAGGCTGCCCACTCTGGGGGCAGAGAGCATACTGCTTCCTCCCTCGCCTGGCACCTCCTCTCCAATCATTTACATCCCACACACTTTCCTATCCCCCCCAATTCTTCCCTGCAGCAGACACGGCTTCATGGTTGGGCAGAAAAGAGGTGCCGTGGGTCTGGAGCTCCTTGGCAGCTTCCATGAGTGTGGGGCTTGACTTTCACCCCTTTCCTCCCATGTGAGGCACTCAGAGCGGCCCATTTCTTATCAAGGGAAAGCAGCAGCAGGAGGCATACCAGCAGGGGACTAAACCTTGTGCAGCTCCTTGTAAACTCCCCTACCCCATCGTTTAAATTTTTTTCCCCCTCTGCAATCTGTCTAGCGAAAGTCTCTACGACCATAGTCTTTGTGATTGTGGTTGACTGAAAAATCTTATTTCGGTAGACTAATGAACTTGTCAAAAATACATAAGGCTACCTCTGAGAGTACATACAGATTGAACAGTCTCCTATTTCAAAGAACAAGCCCAGCACAAAACTGACCAATAAGGAGTGGGAGGAATGACCTCAATGTGGGCAGAGAAGTGGCCTCTGAGGGGCTGGAAATTGGGGGGGGGGTTTATCCGAGGGAACATGTCAGCTTTTGAACTAGCTTTGGCTTGGAAGAGAGGGGAGAGGAAAACTTGCCGCAAAACTGCTCCCAAATAGCCCAGGCCAACATCAAATGAAAACTGAACTGAGCGCTGAAGTGAGGAAAAACAATGCAGAAGAAGGGTAAAATCCAGAAGGAAGTGCACGGTAAACATGGTGGCAATGCAGAACAACAAAGAAAACCTGACTGACATTCATGGTGAGAGCAAGGCAAAACACCAGTGCAGAACAGACCAATGCCGTGTACCTGCATAACAAATCTTCACTTAAATACAACCAGAACCCATACAGTCAATTTTGGAAAAGGTTGTAGAAAGACAGTTCCCATAATCTTCCATTACCTGTTATGTATCACCCAATGTACAACATCATTGAAGTAAGGAGAAGACTATGTTAAGCACATCAGCCAATGGAGTACATTAATTACCAAAAAAAACCCCAAACCCCAAACCCTCTTTAATGAAAAGTTGGGGCTATGAAAAATTCCCATGGGATGGATGCACCAGTATTAGTACCTAAAGTACAAATCTCTATGGCTTCAGTCAAAATTTTTAAGAACCCTGAAAATAATCCAAGAGAGACATCTTCCCACTTTCTCCTCTGGCCATGGAAAATTTTAAATATACAAAAACCAGAAGCAATTTTGAGTACATACAGCACAAGTAGTGATTTTTTCCTGAAAAAAAATTGAAATGCTGAAAAATATTACAAGTGCATGTTCCAGATGAAGTCTAAAATGTGAACAATGACAATTCAATAACAATTTTTAATACTTCACTTTGGGACATAAATATGGATTATGTTCCTATTTAGTGATGGAATATACAACAAAGAAGTGCTGGCAATTTCTGACACTCACAAAATTTGAATGCCAAGATACACCAAATTTTAGACATTGGCCTGAATCCATCAAAGGATTTATGTGGAGTGGGGGATAAGGAGTTTTTTTTGGGGGGGTTGCTGATTCCCCTCTTCCTCTGCAAACCTCCAGCTTCCCCCACAATCTTCCTGATGGTTCTCCGTTCCCCAGGAACAGCAATTCAGGAGGTATTTTGGACATCAGCAGAAAGGGAAGCCACGAAGTCATGCTCCATGACAGGAGTCCCTCCTGTCAATGGAAATTTCTGGCAGATCCAAGCCATTCACTGTAACGCATGTAAACTTATTTGGAGAGAATATTCACACAGCTGAGTGCTGAATACTCACTTTATTCTTTCTTAACCATTAAGTGAGCCATATGCCAACATCCTTTTAATCACCACTACACTCTGCAGTGAACATGAAATTGAGCACACTTCAGAGGACGGCGGAAGACAGGAGGGCCTGAAGGGAGATGATCCATGGGGTCGCGAAGAGTCGGACTCGACTGTGCGACTGAACAACAACAACAACACTCTGCAGTAAGTTGGCATTAGCTATTTCACTTCTATCGCCCCTACAATTAATTTCAACTGCGCCTATTTTTCTATGTGTAATCCAAAATGCGCAGTTAAGAAAAATATTGCAGAAATTCAGCAAGCAAGAAAGGTACTGAAGATGCTACATTTGAAAAGACATCAACCATCTATTTACATACTGCAGAATACAGACACATTACTCTGAATCCTTGAACAATCTACATATTGGCTGCTCAGAATTATTTTCATGAACAAAGCATGTGAGGCAGGAGTGGCACAGTTTTTGGAGTATGTATGGTGATAGTTTCAGCAAAGAAGCAGCAGAGTGAATGTAGGTCAACAATGGATTGTCCCTTTTCCCTCCAAATAAAATCCAGGTAGCACTTCAGAGAATTATCCCCTTTTGAATATTTTCAGCAAGCTATAAAACTGACCTGCTGTTAACGTGTGGTATTTAAGGCTGAATGTGCATATTTATTATTTATAAAATGTGTATGCTGCCTTCCTACCAAACGAGGGCCATGAAGTAAGCTACACAAAAGCTAATGTCTAGAACAGGGATGTCAAGCTGGTATTGGTCCTGTTTTGAGTAGTGTGAATGAATACTTGTGGCTTCCTGGTCTTGATATTTCAACAGATGGATATACTGTAGGTGTGTAAGCAACAATGATTGTGTGCATAAAATAGATTCTTCTGTTTGAAGTGACCAATACAGTTCATATCCTGAGTCCCTAATGGCAATATAGACTTTGGGTTAGGCAGCCTCACTAGAACAAAAAAGGATGAGTCCAGGTCAAACACTGAGTAGATTGGAACCTGAACAATGGGTTGAATCGTACCAAGTGAGACAGATACATAGGAAGTCAAGCATTCTAGTCACTGGCCTCTGTACCGGGGGAATATCACTGAATACACCAAAACATATTGTATACCAAAACATAGTTGGGTTCAGGCCCATGTTTAGAAATTAGCAGTCAAATTAAAGTTACTAGCATAATTTCTGCCTTACTTTAGAAGTGACAGGAAGACACTTGAAATATATTTCCGGAGTCCGCCCTGTGAAAATTCCTGCAAAATAAACAGCCACAGGCTAACATGGCCCCTCCGCTCAGGATTCTGGCACCCTCCTGGACAAAGGAGACAATACAACTTCCCTGTTTTGATACGGCCTCCTTCCAGGCTTGTGTGCATCATTTAGTATGACTGCCCATAAAGTGAGCACAGTCGTACGTTACCAGAAATGTTGACTACCTGTTACCTGTGCAACTGATGCATCACCCACCTTGTGTTATCTATACTAACAGAACTGATTGCAAGAGCCCAACTGCAACAGTTATTCAAAAAATTCAGGCAATGTTCTATAAACACCTTGGCACGTGCAAGCTACATCTGGCCACTGGAGTGCCACACTAAAGAAGAGCTGTGCTTTGCCCCATCCCTAATGTAAGGAAAAACCTTCACAAACCTCCCAGCCCAAGAGACATCCAGCTGTCCTCCTCAACTAGGGCAAGGGCTTCTTCTGCCCTGGCCCCTACCTGGTGGAACTCTCTGCCAAATAACATCTGTGCTCTGCAGGACTTGTTGCTGTTCTGCAAGGCATGTAAGCAAGAGATGTTCCGCCAGGCATTCAGCTGAGGACAGCGATGGTCTTCCATCTAGTCTGGCACTCCTCTTCCTCTTCTTTTCCCCGCCTCCCTCCTCTATGAGGCAATGACACTCCAGGAATTATCGCCATCAAATAGGTTTTAGGCTGCTGTAATTTTATTTTATGTACTGTTTTAATCTTGAAACCACTTTGTAAGATTTGTAATTTTATCACTGTTGTATCCTGCCGTGAGCCCTGTCTTTCAGGGGAGGGCAGCTGAAAAGATGGATTTAATAAATAAATAATAAATAAATATAGAGTAAGTGGTACATGCAGCCCCTCAAGCCATATTTTTCCAGCATACACCAGTATGTACACACTAACCTAACAATGCTGAAGGTTAAAAAAAAAAAGACCTGGTGACTAACATTAGGTGGCTTATGAGAGTTATGTCCCATGATTTTCTATATTGGAAATGTGCCAACAACTGCAATCCTACAAAGTAATACTGAATGGAGGGAGTCCCCTTTGAGTGATTCAGTGCTACTGGACGTTAATATAAATCACAACCGTAAGTCAGGATGGAAATAGTGAAGATTTTAAGATCCAGGCTGCCACTCTGAAACCTGTTTGGAAAGAAGTAAGCCCCACAGAAACTGCAGATTGTTTCTAGGTAAACAGACTGGGCTGCACTTTCTTCCCAAGGGACTGGAATCAATTACACAGACTTTTCAAGAATTCATTACAGACTCGGGGGTGGGAGGGACAGAACTGATGCTCTAGGAGTCAAGTCAACATTCAGGTTAAAAGCAAAAGAGAGAAATGTTAATCCACGGAAACCTTTTTTGATTTATTATAGTTATACCAGATTTATGGCAGCAGTGCTTTGAATTCATCCCAATTCATTTACTATCAAGGGTTCACAATGCAAACCTGCACGCCACATTCTCCTTCAGATTCAGCTGTCCGTATTCCCAGCCCGATGAACACTGCTCACAATCTGTAACAAATGTGTGTGCCCACAAAAGCTTATACCTTGAATAAAACTCTGTTGGTCTTAAAGGTGCCACTGGAGTCAAACTTTGTTAATCTGGAAACTTGTAGATGATATGGGGAGAACTGGACCAGAGTATCTTGAGTAAAGACTGCTCAGGGACTTCAAAGGCCACACGATGTTGCGTGCCCTGATTCTAGCATTTGTTATTTCCATAAGAATTTACCTCTTTCATGTTAGTGCAGCAACGCTCCCCCCCCCCCCAGGG